TTACTAGTACTATATGTTTTCTTCTAATATGTCTCTTTTTATGAAGACAATTTATTATTTAAGATACTAAGACTTTAGTCAACAACAGAAGACATTTTCCTTGTAGTAAACCTAACAGTGTAGTACATATTCCATATATATATTTACCTGCATGTTTGGTAACTTCTTTTTAACTAGTACATATTGTGTTGCTACCAATGGGTTCATATCTCAAGCCAACTTTTGAGTAGCTACTATAATCTGATCTATATTTCAAACTACAATCTTTCTAATTAATTATCTATTATATACTTCTGCTTTTGCAAAATTCACAACAACCCCAGTACTTCAATTTAACTATCTTCTTATCTAAATTTTTAATTGGTCTCTCTCTTACTTCTAGCCAGCAACCCAAAAGGGTTGGTTTGCTCAGGTTTTAGATATCTAAAGGATACCCTTCTCTTGGTTTATACTTTTGAAGTATATGCTCTTTTCCTTTAGTGCATCTAGTACCTGGTAGTTTGGCTAGTGTGTTTTTACACTAAAGAACTGGTTGCTTGATTTATCAATTTCAGCTCTGATTTAAATTTATCTATTATGTAATACTATCAAAGATCTCAACTCAGGACTTTCCAAATAGGCTTCCTGTATAGTAAAGAACAATTCCCAAGATTTATATAATCATAGACTTATTGAGTGTTTGTACTACCCTAAACTGGTTTGCATTTTTTTGTAGTTCCCAGGTTTTTCCAGTTGTATAAATGCTAGCAAATCTCCCAGGATTACTCCCTGATGCAATTCAAGTTACAGATCCTCAATTTAAGATCTGATTATCTTATACAGGTTACTATACTATAGGCCTATTTTTTAAAATCGTCAACTATGAGATTCAAACTCTAGACCTGCTACTTAGAGAGAATGACAACTAAACCACTTCACTAAGTTGCTACACCTCATAAAAAATTAAAAGATTATACTAATAACTTGGTTAATAAAAAACTTTTTTTACTAAAATTTTGTATACAGGTGTATTATTTTTTGCTAGTTATCTTGTATACTAATATTTTTAGTTTGTATATTAAATATATAAAAGAGTCCCAAAGAGTAGCAAAAGAAAATCTTTTTAGTTAATTCTTATAAAAACCATTATTTTGTATTATTTTTTTAGCAAAATTTTTGTTTTTTGTTAGTGAAAAATTTAGTATAAATAATTGTTAAAAGAGATTTTTGTAAATTTCTATTAAATTTTAGCTATTATATAATATTTATTATATTAACTATTAAATTAACTATTATATTATATTATACCTATTATATCAACTATTAGATTAATTATTAAATCAATATACACTTCTTGTATTGATATTTACTTTTGTATTAAATTGAATAAAATAATAAATAATTTAGTTATCTATTTATTAATTCATTTTATTTAATTATCTATTTGATATCCGGATATCTATAGATAAATAGATAAATAAATAATAAATTGAAACTCTATTTTTAAGAATTTACAAAATTTTTTATATATAAAAATTTCTAAAAAACATTTATAATAAAAAAGAGAATTGCATATATTAGACTTTTCTTGAAACTATAAGTAGTTTTTAAAGTAATATTTTTATTATTGAAATTATTATCTTTAAAGTTTTTAGAAAAGAGCAAAAAATTATATAATTTTTTTAAAAAGAAAACAGAATTTCCAAAATATCATGTTATATATATATATATTATGTAAATAGCCAATAATATTTAAGTATTTTACTATAATAAAAATTATAATATTATTAATATTTTTATTATAAAATGCACCTATGGTGGCTTTGCACCAATTATATAATCTATATATCTATTTTTACAAATTTTTATTTATAAATTATATATATATATATATATATATATATATATATATATAATTTTTAGCTCAAATTTTTCTTGTTGGAATTAGAATTAGAGTTTGGAAAAGATTTTTGGAAGCGTACTTAGAATAGCGAATACTAATTAATTAGCCAGTTTTTAAGCCAATACAACATAGGCAGTAAAACATCATAGGTGCGTTTTAGTAAAACTGTTACTATATTATTATTTTAAAAGTGTTTACTATATACAGTATATGACGATTTATTAATTATAAGTTAGCATAGTCAAATCAAGTTATAATTTGAAATATAAGATATAACGCATAATTATTTATACAGTACTCGTATTTTGTAAAAATTACAATAGATATACTATATACATGTAAGAATTTAAGTGGATTCGGAATTTATATAAAAAACACCCATTTCGGGGTTGATTTTATCATACGTACACCCTAACCCTAATCCTAATTTAACTAAGAAATTCCGAATCCACTTAAATTCCATTTCCATTTACGACATACATAAACGTATATATGTTGTAGGTGGATTCGGAATCTATATTAAGTTTATTTATTTAGAATTCAGAACAACTTAAGTCAAATTTAGATTAATCATCAATCATACGTACTTAAAAGATTTGTATGTATTTCGTGAAGGTTTCCAAGTTAAAATTTCAATTTAAGAATATTCTTTTATTTCAAGACAAGCTTTTTATAAATATATTAGATAATAAATTTCTTGAAAAGGTCACTTGTTAGACATCGTAAAACCTTTATTTCACAATCGCGATTTAATTACAATCTTATTAGTGTCTGAAATTGGGTTGCGGAGTCTGCGAACCGCAACAAAATTTCAAATTCCCGCAACCAAATCTGAAGTGCATATGCAAATTCCGCATATAAATTTGCAAATTTTACCTATAAATTTCAATTAAATGTTCATGTGCGCAACTAAATTTTATAAATTTTTATAATCCGCAAGTCGTTTTTTTTTAATTGGTTGCAGCCCGCAACTAATTTAAAAATTGAATTTCAGACGCTGATGACTATACTGATACAATAAAAGATCGATAATGTATTTAAAATTCTTTTCAACTACATAAGTTGATTGTTGTAAAATGAAAATGGGTCAGAATTAATATATACTGATATATACCTACTATAAATGTAATTGTAAGGATAAATACAATACAAAGTTAATTCTTGTAGATGTAAACGTTTTTATTTGGTGTGTGGGAGCGAGTGTCATTCGTATAGTATTAAATGCGAAGAACATGTTATAGAAAAAATAAATACAAATATAATGATAATACAACGTTTTTAGCTATAAAATTACATACTTCTTTATTATTTTTAAAATTCTATTTTCACTAAAGTTGGGTTGAGATTCAAAATCTACTTAAGTTGATTCTGAATTCACAGAATTCCGAATCCACCTACAACATATATAATGTTTACTGTATAAGTTATCGTATGGTGGTTAAAAAAATATTGGTAGTATGGGCGTATATCAGTGATCGGATCAAATATATCTTTGACAGATATTTTGGTGTGATCACTGATATACATTCATACCATCGTGTCAATTTTTTATCTATCCATACGATAACACCAAATTTTGATTATATAGTATTTGTACGGTTGAGCTTTAAAATTCTTATTAAACAGAGAAGATTATTATCGGTTCTGTCTGATAAAAATTTTAAAACTCAACCGTACAAATTTAATAACGATAATAAAATTTTAGTATACGTATTTTAAGTAATAAAATTTTTAAAGCTAATAATTATCTTAATGTATATATATTAATATATATATATATATAAATAATAAAACTTTAATTTTAAACCTTAATTTTTAACTACAAGTAGTTTTTAATATAAGAAAATTAAATACTAGCGCTAGATCTACTTTAGATTTTATTAAAATTTTTTTTTTTTTTTTTTTGTAATGCATATCAGATATCAGAATACTTCTCACATGAGTGATCGTAGACAATCAAAAACTTACGTCACTTCAGCCGACTTCCAAACCGAGTGAATTTACTTATATAAATCATATGATTAATAAAATTCGACACATACATAAAATAAAATAAAAAATGATTATTAAAGGGATTTCATAGTACGCACGTAAATAAGTACGTACGTACATGCAAAATGGATTCAGCCCTTTTCATTACATATTCATCATAATTAAAATCTCCTTAATAGTATACAGTCATTCCTTAAGATCACAAGATCATTATCCCTGAAGTCAGTAAACATACTCCGTGAAGCGAATTATCCATTAAAATTTTAAAATTAAAGTTAATGTTGAATAATATTATATCATTGATTCGGTTTTATTTTTTTTTAAACTGATTATTCGGAAACACAGACCGATAACTATGTAGATTTCAACTTAAAAGGATATCGATCAGTTTTTTGATATAAATCATGTGAGTTTCGGATATAATGAGCCGAACGTATGAAAAAAAAATTTTTTTTGAAAACAAAAAAGCAATATGAAGTTAGATTAACACGGATTTATTCGAATAATAGACAAATAATAGGCAAGTAATAGTCAAAATAATACGTATGTGATATTCATTAAAACAATATTTAACATTATGAAACTTTCAAAAAAATCTTATCACCAATTTTACAAAAAACTTGTCAAAAATTTATTGGCTAGTTTAATTTATCGAATAGTAGTACAATATATCAATAGCTACAAATTAGTATATATTTTCTGTTTAATATTTAATAAAGTTGAAGCATGCGAACGCCAAATATATCAATTGATCATCCAAATAACATGCCAGCCGACTTGGTTTCCTTATATACAGATACGTAATTTTTCTAGTTCAGCATGGCAATCATTAAAAAAAAAAAAGTCTCCTTGGTGTCTGTGACTTATTTAATATTGGAGATTTTTTAATTTTATACGTATACTTTTTGTTAGTTACATTTATTTTTATATTATGCGGTTTGCATTTGTTATACATATTTGGATAAAAAGTCTTGCATAACACTTGAAATTTTTTATATATAACGACCTTTTAAGACAAAAAAGCAATTTAGCAACTCATCCATTATATAAAAAATTCTTTCAATTTTTTTTCATTTATTTTTTTCGTCACAAAATTCTCATAAAAACAATTATTATAAAAATAAGAATGTGTAGCAACATATCTTGCATTGATTCTAATAAGAATGATACAATTCTTCTTTCACCGGAATTATTGCCATCGATACCTTCAAATATCAATAAAATAAAAACCACAACAACAAATTCTCATTCATCTACCATGCCACCTTTACCTATCACGAACCAGCGAATATCGTCAATAGATAGTCAACATGTTACCAAGGATTTATGTAAAGTAGAAAAAAAATGTAACGACGACGACGACAAAACCATGGTAGAATATTGTTCTATATGCACAGAACATATAAGTGTTTATGCTGTTTCTCAGTGTAATCATAGAATTTGTTACTTGTGCGCTTTGAGATCCAGAGTTTTATTTAAAACCAATACTTGCCCTTATTGTAGAGTAAGCTTTTTTTTTTCGACACAATATATTTTTTTTAATTACCTTTTTTTTTTTTTTTTTTACTATAGATTATTTAATCGTTCTTAATAATTTGACTTTAATAGGCTCAACAAAACAAAATAATATTTACACATGATTCTGATACATCGTTTTCAACACTACTATCATCAAAAGCTTGGTATATTATTTCTGAATTTCAAATTTTATGTGAAGATGAATCAATTTATCGAATGGTTACAAATACGATAAGGCTTCGATGCCCATTAAAATCATGTCAAGTTGCTTACGATGATAGCTGGACTGAACTTGCTCAACACGTTCGTACTGCTCATAAATTAACGTTTTGGTGAGTTATAAAATTATTACTATTATTATTATTGATAATTTTTAATTTTTTTTAAATAATATAATTAGAATAAATATTCTAACTAAAATATTATTTATTTATTAATTTAGTACTACTTGTGTGGGACATCGAAAAATCTTTTCATGGGAACATCAATTATTTACTAAAGAAGAATTAAAAAGGCATTTCCGAAATGGTGATGGCAAAGATTCCAATTTTCGCGGGCACCCTTCATGTGTAGAGTGCAATGTAACGTTATACGATCTAATCGAGTTCCGAGAACATTATTTAATGCATCATAGTTCAATTCCACTTGCCTTAAATTCATCACGATCGTCACTTTCACATCAGGCATTATCGGCTGCAAGACTTTCATCATCATCACGTGCATCATTGTCTTCGTCATCATCATCTATAAACAATGCAGAAAATGAACCATTTATAATCATTTGTGCACTTTCAATAATCTTATCCTTACTCAAAATGTTCACTCTCCCAAGTTCTTCGAACAAATATTTTGCTTCTACCATACAAATACTCGATACTTATGTTTCACCTATATTCACCTCAATTTTTCAACTTGATTTGGATGAAAATTCTCAACTCGAATCTACACTTCACTCAATTTTTATTTCAATTTATTCTATTGGAATAAGAGTTGCATTTGTAATTGCATATTTAACGATGGTATTTTGGATATTGAAGAGTTGGATGATATTAATGAGTTGGATTGCGTGTGGAATGTTCATTATATTGATTTTTAGAGTTTGTTGGGATTATTGGAAAAATTGGATAAAATGTTTGGCATAATTGGATACTCTTTTTTTTTTTCATAAAAAAATCATACATTATTTGCATGTATTTTTTTTTATAAAAAAAATCATACATCATTTGTATGTATTTTTTTTTTTTTTTTGCATTCAAAAACAGCACAACTTTTTACATCGTTTATTTTTTTTTTATTTTTTTTTTATTTTTTTGCATTCATTCATTCATTTAAAACATTTAGAATGAAGTGAGGGTAACTTATGCATACATTTTTTATTCAATTTTATTCAATTTTATTCAATTATATTCAATTATATTCAATTATATTCAATTATATTCAATTATATTTCATATATATGCAGAATACTCAAAGATCATCGAAGGTCTATTTTTTAATTTCATGAATTTAATATATTGCAGACGGGTACTACAATATAATAAATTCATGAGTTCAGAAGATAGACCTCGATTGTAATATTTTGAGTAACCTCACATACGTATGTATATATTAAACATATTATTACACATTATGTATTTATCAACAAATTATTGGGAATTTTTTACTAGTTTTGGTTGGGTTAGGGTGAAAGTGTAAATATCTTTATTGTATTTTATTTCGTAATTAATCTTCACACATTGATCTTTTTTTTTCATATTGATTATGAAAACAATATTTCGAAATCTTGTGTGAAATTTATTTTTTTGCATAATAAAGTTACTATTGTTTGTGTTAAAAATTTATTCTTGGCAGATTTTTACTTTAAAGTTTACAAATACCTAATTTTTAATGCATATATTTTAATTATCTACAGAAATTAAGATTAAAAATTTATACGTAGTTTTTATGTTTCAATTTATTTTTCACAATGGTAAATAACAAAATTGCAGATTTGTATGCAGATTAATACAGTCGACATATATTACTGTATTAAGGGTATGACTTTCAGGGCCGTACGTACGTACGTACACTTACCATTATCATTTTGTACTTTACTTTTTTTTTTTTTTTCGATCCATAAAATTCACAAGCCAAGTCTTTCACAAAAATTTTTGTATAAACCCAAATTTTTTTTTATTGGAAAGATTAACCTAGACCTAAAAAGTTTTTATCAAATGATTTAATAACAAATAAGTTAAATTTTTGTACCAAAATTTTTTAGATTATCATTCTCAGTAATTTAACATGTGTCACTCAAATTCGTGTGCATAAATGATATTCTGATTATTAGAATGTTTTTATTAGGCTTATTCAAAAATGGGGTTTTTAAGAGCAAGATGCAGAAAATCAACCATGTAGAATGTGAAAATGATATGAGATTGAGCTTACTTGCCAAAATTGGATAGACATAAAAGAATATTATGCGTCATGAAATAATGTTGAATGTTGTGTAATCAACTTTTAGATGCTAATTATATCAAATGTATTGGGGTACAAAAAGGAATTATTATAATTACATATCAGCTTAAAATAATGTAACGTCTATCATTAAATATGCATTGACCATACGCCACTTCACAATACCTTAAAAAACAAGTACACGTTTTTCTTTTGTTTTAAAAATGAATTTTTTTTTATTATCACCTCGAAATCCAAGAAGGGTAACGTTCAATAAACTAGACCATGCATGAAACTAGGAGGTCACATATGACAAAGAAATAGTTTCAAACATTTTTAGATTCAATTCAGATCATTTACATTGTAACAAATATGTACCTGAATATTTTTGTGCCGTTATCATTTTTTTGTGTATTTACTAATTAAGATGGTCTAAATTCTTTAACCTTCTTTTTTTTCTTTTTTTAAAAAAAAATAGATATACATGGATATATTATGTCATTATTATTTGTTTTAACCAAAGTAATACATAACATAACTGTCACACTTTATAATCATTTCGTTAAGGCCGTTACGGCGCTTTTTGTAAACTGCCCCAAAATTTGAAAATTTTGACTACTAATATGTAAATATAGATTTGAGATTTTGAGATTTTGACTGAGATAATCAAACATTCCCCAAATTATGATGTGCTCTATGTCTAATGAAATGCGTCGGGTTAGCCTGTAGGGAAGTTTGGTTAAAATTTTTTTCGGGGTTTAACATTAATTGATTAATATGTAATTTGGTAACTAAAATTTAATTTTGGGGACCAAATGCTTAGATTGGTGACCAATTGTCTGCTTAATTCCGTAAATGCGCCGTATAATGCTATAACGTGTTTTTAGTAAAAAAAAAAAAATTTTAGCATCTATTCTAAATTTAAGAAATTCGTTGAAGTCCTGAAAATGTAAGGTGTTTAAAAGTGTGTAAGTGTAAAAGTGTGTGACAAAAATATCCGTAAAAAATTATCAATCATATGTAATTTGAGATTAACCAATCTATTATTAGTGATTTTAGGTTAAAGTGGATAGCTTATTCTCAATATATCTGATATCTAATACGTATAGCACGTACGTACAGTACTTAGTATATAGCTTATTTATGGAAATATACGGTATATACTATAGTTAAATTTCATTTAAGTAATACGTAGCATAAATGAAATCTAAATTATAATTTACATTATTAACAAAAAAAATTTTATTAGTAATATATTAAATAGATAAATAAGTTTGAAATTTTATTACATACGTATACGTACGTATTAATTTACAATTTGTACATAATATACTTTATTGTAAAATAATAATAAATATAAATATATAATAATATCGATATATATATATATATAATATCGATATACTGTATATATATATAATTATAATATCGATATGGGAAAAGTTAATAGAAAAGCAGGCAAATTATTTTTTAGTACGTATTTACAGCTGTTCGACCGAACTCAGAAACTTATCAATTCGGTCATCGGGTATTTTTTCAGAATTTATGAGAACGGCTGTAAACATTAAAATATCAAAATAATTATTCCTCCAATCTAATATGATCTGCATCAAATAATTTAATTACATATTTATTATTTAGCGATCTCAGTAATATAAGCGTGTCATCTGCAGATAGTCGCAGACTGAAGGATAATACCATTACTAAACGCGTAAGTGACCAATAACTGCATTGTTCGCCTAAGATCTGTTACGTACCGTACAGCACGTACAGCACTGCATATAATAAGTAAATCAATTAGGGAAGCGGTTATACCGGTATATGGAAAAATGGTACGCAGTATGTTACCAGATATAATACCGTATAATATGGTATAGCATGTTATAGCATGGTATAGCATGGTCATTATGCTCTCAGCTTAATATGGTTCGGAATTTTTCTAAAATCAATTTATACGTACAATCATGTGACAACAATTACATGCGATTTATAATTTGCCACTAAGCAAAAAATCGTGCCACATCGGGTATTATATGCAGCGCTGTATGAGCTGCTGTATGTAATTACATACGTACGTACGTACGAACGAACGGTAGATGATATTCGGCCGTTATCGCGGCAGATGCATCTAACAAATCTTTTCCGAATAATAAAGTTATTTGGTAAAAAATTTTTTGACGAATAAATTCTCCGTTATCGGCCGCTACGAGGTCGCCAATAACTGACTATCCATCAAAATTTTTTACCCAATAATGTATACATATAAACTTTTTTTTTCTTAATTTTTAACCCAATTACAATCGGCCTTCTCTACAGTCACCTCCTATATAATCACACCCTCCTTATATGCACTATTTTTTGAAAAATTATTGGCAATATATTGTATTTATTAAACTTTATATAATCACAATACTATTGAAAATTTATAATCACAACTTTTTTATGTAAAACGGTGTGATTATAAAGGAGGACGACTGTAGTATATAATTTTTATTTTAAAATTTGGTTAAAATAATTTATAAAAAAATAATTACAGTAGCTAATAAATATTTAAAGTAAAAAATAATTAATTAATTTACTAATTAATAATTTGAAATTCAAAATAATAAATTTAAAATTTTTAAAAAAATTCTAGTTTCACAAACTAAAAGATCTAAAGATTAATTATAATATTTATAATGCTAATATTAGTATTAAAAGATAGAATCTTGTTATTTATCGCAACCTGCGATATTGAAAACCTAAGTCGATGTTATGTTACTCAGGTAAAAATCGAATTAGATAAAAAAAAATCACCAATCCGGATCACCCAGGTGGCGACTTTTTATTATCTAACCCGATTTTCGCCTGGGTAACTTAGTGCCCGCTCATTAGATGACCCGGTGAAAGCTTAACTTTTTAGATGGTCAAGAACAATACGTGATCGGTTATTAAACATTAACAATGCAATCACGCAATCAGCAACAATTAGGTGATCAAAGATACATCATTTTGCATTAGCGATAAATCCACAAATGATTCATTGTATACCCATCCGTGATAAGTTAATACTAATGCTGTTGAATCATTTGGTTCAATTTGCAAGTGATTTCATACGATAAGTTTATTCACATATATGATATGGAGTTCGGGTATTCAATTCTATTTTATTAAGAGCTGACAAAGCTGATTTTCCAAAGAAATCGATCGACTTAGTTGGCTAAAATACTAACTTCTAATTGGATTATTAAAAATATCCAACCCAATGCTAAGCCTAACTACAAAGTAATACTAACTCTAAACACAAACTAACGCTAATCCTAACTAGAGCTCTTACCCGGGTCAGAAAATACTGACCCGGGTTATAACCCAGGTCAACGGGTCAAACGGAAATTCATAAAGTTTTTGAAGTTAATCCTTAAAAGTTGATATAATGATACTTAATTAGAACTATTAGTATAAAGAACAGCTGTACTCCAATTATTTAAATTGAAAATTTTCGGATTTTGTATTGAAAAAATTTTTCGATCTTACTCGTGATTTGAGCTCGCCCATTTTCTATTCCAGGAAATACATGACCCACACAGGTTAGACGACCCGGGTTAAGAGCTTTAATATTTAGTATACTATAATGTTTTCTACCTACATAGTAAATTTTCTACCTATATAGTATTTTAGTCTACTTTAAATTTTGACCCGTTTGACCCGGGTTAGGGACAATTTTCGACCTGTGACCCGTGGGTCAACCGACACGGGTAATAGCTCTAATCCTAACTCTAATCCTAACTTCTAAACGCTATTATATAACGAACATTTCAAACCACACTAACATGATGCTACCAGTAGCAATAGATTGAACAAGACGAAATACACCTACAAAGACTCTAGTAGTAAGACACCGAACGCGATGAAATATGGCGACGAAAGCCTGAAATCACCAGCGACAATGCCGAAACGACTAAAGCCTAAACGGCGACACCGAAACGACGAAAGCCCGAATTAATAGATGTAAGCAAAAAAAAAAGAAATACTTTTCTGCGCGAAAAAGAATAACAAAATTCAAAAGAGATTTTAAAAATTTTTTACAATTTTTAGATTAAAAAAAATTAAATTTGAAATAATACAGTATTATTTAATAATAAATAAAAAAAATCAAACATCTTAGTTTCTTGTATAATTCATTGAATAGATCTTGATATAATAAAAGTATCTATTTATTTTAAATAATAGACATATATACTGTATTTGTAAATTTTAAATAAAATATACTTACTGGCAACAGTGTGATTATCATTTGACCTCATCAATAGCGCAGTGTTAATCAAAGAACTTAATGGTCTGCTTGTATATATTGCTTATGAATCTATTTTTCTAATAGATGGAGTAATTTTGGTTTCTGAAAAGTATATTTCTTTTTTATTTTCTTTTAGAATGATATTCAATATAGAATTCCGAATATTATCAGCATTTGGTCTATTTAACGGATTAGCGTCCCAACATTTTTTCATTAAATCAATATAAATTTGTGGTAGATCGTTAATAATTTCTAGACGAAGACCATTAAGAATGTCCAGAATAAGAAATTCGTCTTGATTACGATCAAAAAAAGGTTTTTGTCCAGTTATTATTTCCCACATAATCATTCCATAACTGTAAATATCTGAAGCTATTGTATACTTTTCACCATTAAAATTTCTATGGAATCACACCATATATTTCTTTTGTATTTGGTGTCGCATTTACCGGTTTGCTTAATCCAAAATCTCCTATTCTTATCCTAAAGAATAAACTTAGATCATGAACAAGTATATTACCGCTATGAAGATCTCGATGAATAATTTGTTTACTATAAATTTTATGGAGTCCATTTGCTATTTTTTCTAACATATTTAATTTCTTTTTCCAAGATAAATTAAGAATATTTTTTGAAAGATAATGATGTAAATCACCATTCTCAGCAAATGCCATTACTATCATATAGTTTTTTGTTTCTGGGTGTTGTGTAATGCCATAATATTTATGTATATAATTATATATATAATTAATTCCACTTGAACATTGAAAATAATTTTTTAACTAAAAAAAAAAAAAAGTAATTAATGAAATTTAATTATATTTGCAATATTCGAAATTATTATTAAAAAATGCATATATAATCGTTGACAGTGAATAACTTTGATTCACTGATCCATTTTGGATGAATTTACCACCAAAATGATCGTCTCGACTAAGATCAGGGACGATGATTTTCTGCGTTTCATGGAATGCTGCAGAATCACGGAATTTAGCTATAAATACGGAATGCAGTTTATAAGTAAAAAATATAACATTTGAAAAGCCCGGTATAGAAAATACATGAACCTAAAAAACGAGCATGGTCTATCCAAAATGATCCGAAGAATAAGAAATAATTCGGATGCAGATATTCAAATTATTAATATAACCAACGCAGAATTCAGAAATTATAATGTACAGATCTTGGCAGAATTCATAAATTTTAGAGCGCGGAAGTTGCATAATTTGATTTTATCACGGACGGAATCGACAATTTATCATCGCAGAAAATCATTGCCCCTCCCCAAGATCAATCATAGGATCCCGAGATCGTTAAGATTTGTGTCACTTTTGAGTTGACGCGTCCGATTTTATTTAAGTTATATAATCTTTAACGATCTCGGATCCTGTTAACTCATATCGGCAGATTTTTGAAGAACCCTTAAATTAAAAGGGTATTAACTGATTGGTCAATTGATCGATTCATGCAAATAACTTAGTTTAAAAAAATTTAGCTGCTTAATAATTTAATGATCTATTTTAAAAAAAAACAGTTGGAGGGTGGGACGTTAATTTTTCTCTGAGATTCTTAATTTTTAGGGTACTTCGTGGGACGGATTAATCAGTTGTAATTAGGGTCTTTACTGCTGCGTTAATGATTTTTTATTAGATTTTGAGACTAACAAAAAGGCCCAATTTGCAAAATCCGCCGATATACTAAGCTCATTATAGTCGCCGTCGAGACTGTCATTCTGATGATAAAATCATCCAAATGGATCAGTGAATAAAGATATTCACTGTCAAAGATTATAGTAGTTCCAACTATCTGTGAATATATAATAATATATTATGTGAACATAAATATAATTGTAACAAACCTCATTCAAAAAATCAAGACTTATATCTTCAGAATTATTAAGACTTTTAAGAACAACTGGTAAATTTTTTTGCTCTTTAAAAGTTTGTTTATTACGCATCCATCCACTTTTTATGCCATAAGCACATATCGCTTTGTATACTTTACTAAACCCTCCTTCAGCAAGATAGGTAATATCGTTAAATTGATCATATGGAATAAATTCCATATAAACTCCTCGTTTGGATTGTTTATTTACTTTAGTAAGCCATTTTTCTATAACTTTATTACCGCTAAATATGAATTTATCACAAAAATTACACTGTTGTGCATTGTCATCCTTATGACGCCTTTTCTTTTTACATTTTTTACACTTTTTAATTGTACAATCCATGATTTAATAAATTCATTGATTTAATAATTATGCTTATACGAAGTTTACATCGATGTTTTATATATTTTTTAAATATAAGACAGAAATCAGAAGACTTGTTCTTTTGCTTCTGTATAAGTTATATTGTAAATCAGAAAAATTGCTTATATTCTACCCTACTTCAGTGTATGCCTTATGATGTACATAGTCTTTATTATTCACATGTAGTGTATATTCTTAAATAACATCTATGGATGTTGTCTGTTAAAGATAATATAAACAAAGACAGAGGAAAAATTCTATTGGTAGGGAGTAATATCTAAATCGGGTTAATTGTTAAGTAATATCTAAATCGGGTTAATTGTTAAGTAATATCTAAATTGGGTTAACTGTTAAGTAAATTCGGGTTTACCGCTAAATAATCATATCGGCGGATTTGGGAAATTACTATGAAAATCCTCAAATATTTGACAAAGAGTAACTTGTGACCTACTGGTCTATTTTAGATGTTTTTACTACCAAAATGTTCGTCTCGATGAGACGATTCTAAAGAGCCTAAAATCATCAAAATCCGATCACTGAATCCCGAGAACGCTAACGTTTTGTTTACATCGGGTATTACCGGATGGGTTTTACTTAGCAAAACCCATCCGGTAATACCCGATGTAAACAAAACGTTAGCGTTCTCGGGATTCAGTGATCGGATTTTAATGATATTGGGCTCTTTAGAATCGTCTCATCGAGACGAACATTTTGACAGTAAAAGCATCTAAAATGGACAAGTAGGTCACAGGTTATTATTTGTCAAATATTTGAGGATTTTCATAGTAATTTCCCAAATCCGCCGATATGCGATGCGGAATCGGAGTTGAAAAGAATGAGGAGAAATACTTCGAATATTATAAAAAAGTCGCATATATGAGAAACACTGATGGAACATTTGGTGTTTATTATTATTATTTTTATTTTAACATTAGAGTCAAAACAAAAGTTATTATAATAAAAGAGAGTTATTATAATAAAAGAGAATTAGGAGATTATAATAAAGCACTTAAATATTGTAAGAAATGCGCTTATAGGATGAAATTATTGGTATGGAAAGCAAATCATTGGTGTAGAAAATGCAGAGATTTTTGAAAGACTAATAAAATACAAGAGATTGGAAAAGGTGGTAGTGCAATAGTATATCACACACGTTGGTATAGTAAGAGAAATGTTGCACTCAAAGAGATTCGTAGTTCATGTGACAATGTTAAAGACTTTGTTAATGAGCTAAAGAATTGTGAAATCGGTTATGAGAATCCTTTTTTACGATGTTTTGGTGTATCAAAAAATATCGTAAATTGAACTAGCATTTAGTGCTTATGTCACTGGTCACTGACTTGGTTTTTCAAGAGAAAAAGAAGGAAAATTTTATGGAATTATGCCTTATTTAGCACTTGAGGTCAATAATATACGAAATCTGATATTTATAGTTTCGGGATCATCATGACAAAAATATCAATATTAATCCTCAATCTAAGATCACTTATGGGCAAGACCTGAATGTACACATGCATATTAGATTAACTAATAGATGCTTGAATAATGATCCTGATAAACGACCAACTGATACCATAATCGTTAAAAAAGTGGGTCATTGGTTAGATGAAATGAATCAATAACGAGATTAAGAATCAATGTTTATAAAATGATAAAGTTAAACTAGAATTGGTCGAATCCAAACATTCAAATTATTATTATATTAGTAACTAAGGATGTTAACAGTCCGGTCTGGTTCAGTCTGGTCAATTTTGGTCCAAGTCTAGTCTGGTCTATTATGGTCTTCTGTCTTAAGACTTTGCTAGTCTAGACCGGTCCAGACCGATCCAGTCTTAAGACTTAGAGCAGACCAATTTTTTTTAGTTTAGACCAAGGCCGATGATTTTCTGCGGTGATAAATTGCCAATTCCGTCCGTGACAAAATCAAATTCCGTGCATTAAAATTTATGAACTCTGCGTGTTGTTATTCATGAATTCTGTGTTGGTTGAATAGAAACTTCGAATGTTCTGCAATAAGTTGATTGTTTATTCTTCGGATAATTTCAGATATCAAGCAACATTTTTAACTGACCATGCTCGTATTTTAGGTTCATTTATTTCTACACCGGAAATTTTCAGAAGCTATATTTTTAGCCTTTTAACATCATACGTACTTATAAAAAAAATTATAACCCTACTTTCTACGACAATTTCGTGCTATCCTTGACGCATTCCTTGTTTAGGACCTGATTCCGTGATTGAACCTAGGTGCCGCACAAAAAATGCGCGGCAGATCCTCGATTTTGATTGGCTAAAAGCGACGATCAAAAAATCAGGCCGGAATTACTCATAATTTTACTAATGAAGTCGCAGCCACCTATTAAGTGAAAATTGTTCCTGGGTCAATTTTATCATAATGCGAGCTTATTTCTTAAAAAATTCTATTTATGTAATGAAAAAATTAAAAAGTTGATTTCGGCCCGCATTACATAATTGTTTACTAATTTCCGGTCAAGATTTTGAAGATCCTCGGCCGTTAGCCAATCAAAATCGAGGATCTGCCGCGCATTTTTTGTGCGGCACCTAGGTTCAGCTCAGCACAGGTTCAGGTTTAATAAACCTAAACTGAACCTGAACCACAAATTTTGCAGATCTTTGAACCTGAACCTAAACTTAGAGTTTTGGTTCAGTTCAGGTTCAGTTCACCTTATACATCCAATTCCTGTACTACTATCGCTGTGTCGATCGTTAAAATTATAAATTAAAAAACATTAAATTAT